GTCTATAGTTTACATTTTGACTGCACAATTGTGAGCTTTTTGTTATGCACAAAAACAACATTGTTTTCTTTTATTTATGGACCATGATTATTTAATAAATGCTGATAATTTATTTTTGAGTAATTTCTTCATGTACATCTACGCTGTATGTAATAAAAGTGCCCTGTGTGATCTGGGACACAGTGTGACTAAGAACTCTCTTTTTGTTCTTAACTTATGGCTTTAAAAAAAAATCGAGATATATATCTTATATCGCCATCCAGCTAAAAAATATCGAGATATGAATTTTGGGTCATATCGCCCAGCCCTATGCCAGAGCACTCTGGAATGCACACAAAGTCTTTGCAGACTATTAAGGATCAACCCTCTACCAACATGACATTGATTATAAAACTCTAAGCATATATGAGTCGATATTTCTAAGCATAAATGACAATCAACAATATAAACCTGACACACAGCCGTTTGGTTTTATTTTTATGTGTGAAAACATTAGATTTTATGTCTTTCTGTCAACATCAATCTGCTTTATTTCCTAAAAAGAATTAAGGTCAAAATTTGTGGTACATCTTGTGTATTGAATAGCAATATATTTTACAGTTGAATCTTATAAAGCAGAGGAAGAAAGTATTTTAATCACACAGGGCTGTAAAAGTACCAAAGTAAAGAAGTAAAAAATTTAACTCAGGTTTTACCTTTTCTATTTATTTATGTTCTGATGAGGTATGTTGGAGTTAATAAATAAATAAAATTGCCAATGTCAGTAAAATTTGCTGGCTCAGAAATATAAAATACATAGTGGGGAGGAAAAATTGTAATGTGACAAAGAAAAACATTTATAAACCTGTGAGTCGTGTTTGGGGGAAAACAAAGAAACTGGAGTGTTTATTTGTTTCACTTAATCCCAAAAGTTTTGTCTCATATTAATCTGAAATTATGAGACTATAAAAGATTTTAGTTTTGTGTTTGTTTGTGCGATTGTGCCTCAAGAGTTGGCAGTTTGTCTTGTAATCGGAAGGTTGCCGTTCGAGCCCCGGCTCGGTCGTTGTGTCCTTGGGCAAGACACTTCACCCGTTGCCTACTGGTGGTGGTCAGAGGGCCCGGTGGCGCCAGTGTCCGGCAGCCTCGCCTCTGTCAGTGCGCCCCAGGGTGGCTGTGGCTACAATGTAGCTGCCATCACCAGTGTGTGAATGTGTGTGAATGACTGGATGATGTAAAGCGCTTTGGGGTCCTTAGGGACTAGTAAAGCGCTATATAAATACAGGCCATTTACCATGTGTTTGTGTTCTGAATCTTGTTTAATTTCCTTTGCTGCGTTTCAGGGCCACACGTCAGGAAAAAAAGTGGAAACTGAAGAGATGAATGGCGTGTCTGAGGAGGAAGAGGATGAAGATGATGAATCCTCAGATCCAGACATAGAGGAAGAGATCCAGGCCAGCACTCAGCAGGATGGACCAGGTTAGACCAAATAAATGTGGTTATATTGAAGCATCATATTGGCTGACAAGCATCAAATTAGATATAAATCTAATTTCATTGTTCACCAGCACGTAAAAGCTGCATGTATGGAATACAGGAGTTTGCATCTAGGTAACTGCCCTCTGTGGTCTGTACCAGGATCTAAATATTCTTATGTTATGAAAACATAACTGAGTTTCTGAGATTTTAAGTCACCGCTAGGACTGCTGCTAAGGTTAGCCACACTGTGCTGATAATGTGTAACGTATGATTTAATTATTGAACAGAATGATTAACAATTTAATGTGGCTCATAAACACACAGAAAATTCATACAGACAATGTTTAAACTCATCCGTCAGATTGGGCTCAATTAAAGACTGTTTTTCTTCCCTTTAGGCTGTTATTTAGTCTGGTTTTTTCTCCCTTTTAAACAACGAATACATTCATACAGTCAAATAAGTGTTATCAGATTTCAAAAAATATGACCAGATGAAGGGGGCAGAGATAAGAGAAGAAAATATTTATGTGCCTTTTTTGCTTCTTTCTTTAGATGAAGAAGACAACGAGGAAGACGACATTAACGAGGTGGAACAAGCGAGCGAAGGCACCAACAAGGAGGATCAGAACGATGATCAGATTGCTGTCTTCCAGGTTTGCTTCACATTACCGATGACATTGAGGGTCACGCTGGTCCGTCTCGTGCCTCCAGCGTGTGCGGCCACACAGGTGAGCTCGCCTCCTCTGCCCAGGTCCAGCTTAGAGGTGTCGATCTCGAGCCGGGAGGTCTGGCTGAAGGTGCGGTCCCAGGCCTGCCGGTGGCCCGTTACGCTGAATGAATCAAGGGTCTTGGACTTCCCGTCGGCACCTTTAATCTCCCAGCTGAACTCCACGGGGAGGGGCGCAAAGCCGGACGCTTCACACTGGACATTTATAGTCTGACCTGGGACAGCGAGGGGCAGGGTGGAGGGGTGGATGGAGAGGGATGGGGGTTCTGGGTGGAGAGAGGAGCAGAAAAACAAGATGAGGTTAAAAGTTAAATCTGGAGTTTTTACAGAGCTGAGTGTTTATTTTAAACACATCTGCTTACTTCAGTGAGGCAAACACGTGCACAATGCTCCAGAAATACATTTTCCTCACCTTCAATCTCAAGGTCCAGCGCCACCTGAGCGAGCAGGTGTGGCAGATACACCGTGCAGATGTACGTCCCAGAGTGAAGCACTTTAGCCTCCTGCAGGAGCAAGGATGCATTTCCTTTCTCGTGCAAAGCCTCAAAGTCCAGCGTGGCTCCTTCTTCCTGCGTGTCGGCGAGGCGGTCAGTCTTCCCATCGTAAGCCAGAATCAGCCGTCCGCGGCCTCTGAACTGGTACCGCCACTCGACGGCGAATCCAGCCCCATACAGAGGAGAGGAAGGGTTGATCCAAAAGCCGCAGTCCAGCTGCACAGGCTCCCCGAGTCTGGACTTTACTGAGACCGTTTTAGTCGTCACGCTCAGGATCACTGAAGAAACAGAGTCAGACCGACACACGTGAGATAATAAACTTTTATAATTGTTGGCCAATCAATTTTTTGATCTGTGAACCCCCAGATATAAATGTGTTGGGTTAAAATCAAATCTTTACCACTGTGCTCTTTAGATCCCGTGGGGCTGCGGGTGATAGTAGAGATGGCCAGCTGTTCGTTGAGGCCCTGAAATGCAGATGAAAACCACTCAGCCTGCAGGTACACGGGGCTGAGGCCAGACTCTGTGAGCGAGGAAACCCAGTCCAGGCTGGAGGGCTGCGGCAGGAAGGGGTTGATCTCACACTGGGGCTTCGTCACAGAGCCTCTGGGAGGGTTAAGGGAGCGGTGGCAGAGGGTGCCAGCCGGGTCTGAGAAACAGGAGTCAAAGGTCACGCTTATACAACATGTAAGATGTCTGAGACACTCGATCTGTTTATAAAAAAAAGAAAATAAGATGAACAGCTGTGTATAAATAATTTTAAGTGAATAATTTAACCCACATAGTAACACAGTTTGCGGAATTACAATTTTTACTTTATTTTATTTTCTTCTTTTGCTTTTCATTTTATATTTTTTGTATAGTTTTTGTACGTGTTGCTCAGTATTACTTATTCAGAGGCCCACATGGGACAGATATGGCAAATTATTTTATGCTGTAAATGTTGTGGAGGGTGGTTTGTGTTACATACCTGCCCCTAAACAAATATGCCTTTAAACCTACACATTTGAAAATACATAACAAATAAATCTTAAAAAGAGATGCTTTGTCCAATGATGGAATCCATAAAAATACAAAAAGAAAAATATAGAAACATGCAGAGCTGCTATGGATACATGTTTAGATTTATTATCTAAATTGTTATGTAATCATAATATTTACATAATATTCTCAAAGAGAAATGTTGATGGAGTCAAACTAACAACCTAGGAAGTACAAGTTTTGAAGACCTAAAGTACTAAATATAAACATTTTCGTGACTAAAACGAGCAGCTGGGATGTTTTATAGAAGAACATTTGGTCTATATGTTTATTACACACTGCCAGACAAAGAAAGTCACCACCTGGACTTCACTAAGGAAACAGGTAAGAGCCTTCCCCTGTACTGGAGGTTTGGCGACCCTGTGTGTTCACGAATGAGGTCAGTTGATCACCTGACTATTACTGAATGATTGTTTTTCCCATCAGTGGGATTTTTGCTGTGACTTATCAAAATGACGCTACAGCGAAGGAATGGAGCCATCATAGATGATGAAATGTTAGTGTGACTGTTTCGGCCGAACCATTTCCTTTATTTTCAACAGATCATCTAAAATGTTCTCATGTAAATAATTATGGTTTTCAGTCATTTTTATGCAAAAATGACTCCTCTCTGTTAACTGAGCCAATTTTATTGTCATGTTGGACGTTAAGTATCTGCCTCAAGCTTTAGCAGCGGTAAAATCTGCTAGCCATGGTTCAGACATACTGGGACTCAATCAGATGTAAATGCATCCAGATAAGAGAGAGGAGAAGAAAAGGTGGACGTAAACTCTGATAAAATATGACTTTTATCGAGCTGCAGAACTTATTTAACTAAGCTGGATTGTATTTTACTCATTACCGATCACAGAGTAGACTCTTTCAGGGTTGATGTCTTTAGGAGCGCGCTGGGACTCGTCATTCTGGCCGTCTGCTTCGGTTCTGATGTGAAGCAGAGATTTTTCTTGGGTCGTAGCTCCAGTTAAACCTCCTCCTCGTCCCGCCTTCTCCTGCACAAACCAGCACTCCAACACCGGACAGCTGCTGCTGCAGGCTTCAGACAAAAGTTTAACAGGAGATTAATGGGTAGTGAAAACTCTGTAAATATCAGACCACGTTATATTATGCCATTATGTTTCCCGACATCATCCACTCAGAAAATTATTGTTGTGCAAATTGTCTTTTCAAGCTCAACCAATAAACAAGGCAGTTATAGGAATTATTATTGAAACAGAAAGTTAAATCAAGCCTAATATGTTTCATGAAGTCCAGTTTAAAATGACAGCTAAAAGTAAAAGTCCAGTTCTGTCTGGCGACGCATAAATATTGTACTTAACTGTTTCCACCCCTTCAGTGTTTTGATTTTGGTTTACTCCCCTGCTTTTTTTATTTTTCATTTAGCAAACAGGCAGCAGCCTTTCTACCTTTCCCCGAAAATTAAGTCTCCAGCTGTTTCCTGTGAATATCGCACAGTCTTAATCACTAAAGTGAAGACAGCACTGCTTCAATTTGTGATTTCAAGTATTGGTGATTGTATTTCAAAATTGGACTATAGTCAGCAGGATTTACAAAGGGGTAACATGTAAAACAAAGAGTATCTTTATGACTCTTTTTTTATTGCTTTACTGTACCTACTTCGTAACCAATTCAGACCTTTTTGGCCTCTTAAAATATCTTTATTGAACTGTTGTTATATTTGTTGTAGTTTTCATATACGATATGGCCATATACCTCTTAAAGAAGACGTTTTTAATGTCCGTGACACTTTTTAACTGGTTGAATGTAGGATAACTTTGCCAGAAAGTGATTGCAGCTTCTACGTTCTTTCACATATTAATGGTCAACATGTCATTTACAGCAGTTTAAGTATGGATGATCACTTTTCGGCAAATACCGGAAATCACTTTTGGACAGACGATCACGTTTTGGGCACGAAAATAGACGTGCACCACTCGCTCGGGGTTTTACGCAGAACTCCATGTTAAAAACGTATTAAATTTATGTTATTTTTGTTAAACGTAATCATGCATACACCTATAACATTCACTTACATGTTTTAAGACGCATTTGGCCATTATTTTAAATTCGGCTTGTAAAAGGGTCATCAAATATGACCTTTACTATGTTTACTTAGAGTTAAACTTGACGTTATTGTCCAAGTTGTTTTGGACATTTTCAACCAGCTGTTTTGCAACTTTTTGATGTTACTGAACAGATAGAGGACTTCCATGCATATAAAAAAGGTTTTTCTTACATGTACGGTTTATAATATTAGTAATACAGCATGCATAGATGTATTTTTGGCTGTCAGACCAGCAGAGCAACAATGAGCTCGACTAGCTTACCTTGAATAAAGCAGGTAACGGCGATCAGAGACAGTTTATAGATGGTAGATAATTCCGTCATGTTTATCCGTGTTTCCTCACAGACAGGTACCCTCGTCTAGCTGCAACCAAACGGACTAAACAAGGTTTAGTTGGCTGGTTTTCCCCTCCAAGTCCGAGATCAAGTTCACTTTCACTTTCACATACAGACGAGTCCGACAGTTATCCAGGAAAAACACAAAAACACGCCATAAGTTTATAATATATCAGGATTAGCTGACATAAGAGTGAATGTGTATCTGAAAAATTAAAGTACCCGGAAGCCTAAAAACAAAGATTTTACAGTAGCTTAGAAGAATACGTCTTCAAAATTGCATTCAGGAGTACTGCCATCCCGCCGCTAGATGGAGCCCTCTGGCTAAAAACAAACCAAAGGCAAATTGTGGAGTAACGTGCTACGTTAGTGGCAGCAAGACATCAGAAAGATAACCCAGTCTGAGGGCAGGGGTCAGATGAGGACAAGAGAAACAGGAAAAATAAAGTCTTAAATCTAAACACACGGCCTTTGTTTTTATATTGTAAAAGCAGCATACTGAGTGTATAGGTCTTGGTTTTAGTAATAGAAGTTCTTTTTAAAAAAAATGTTTTTTAATGCATACAGAATTCATCATAAATTACTTCTCTGTATGAGTTTAGTAACTTGTTCTTTACAGATTAGAAGTTAGCTGTAGACTTTATTTTTAAATGTATGTCCTTCTGACCTGTCTAAAATGTTGATGTTAATAACTGATTGTTTGTCTGTGAAGGTTCTCAGTCAATTGATTGTTTCACTTCTTTGTTTTTGCAGGAACGTTGCAGAACAAGTCAGACAAGAAGCCTTAACCTCCTGGCACATATATTAGATAACAGCCTATTCTTTGTTCTCCGTTTGTGCACCAACGCTTGCAAATCAAACCAGATCGGGTGTCATAAACACAAAAACGAAACTTAACAGAGTGATCACGTGGTTTCACAGAAAGCAGTGGACATGGAGTGCCGTTTGAGTCCAGTGGTGGCGCTCTAACACTGTGACTGACCTTTCTGCAAAACACCACCAACAGAATTAGTGAGGCTTGCTACTGTAGCTTTAACTGATGTGATTTCCTCATTGTTTGTATCAAAGTCGCACCAGAAAAGCCGCAGCAGTAAAGTTTTCTGTGACAACATGATTCATTTTCCTAACAAATGAGGCACAAATTCAGGAGAAATAAACAGGCTTTGAAATTGTATAAGTTTATTGCCAAGAAACATTGTTGCAACAAAGGACAAACCGAACAAACAAATTTCCTTACGTCTCCATCTAAGTTTACTTCCTCACACTTTGCAAACATAACAAATGCAGACAAATTAACAGATTAAACATCAAACCTGGATTATGCAAGCACTTAATTTGTTTATTTAAAAAATGTAAATCTTTTCTGCTTTAATTTTAAATTGAAAAAAATATGACAGTGTAAACTTCGTGCTATCATGTCTCTAATCCTCCGGTTTAATCTGTTGAAAAACGTGGTCTGTCACTCTTCCCGGTGAGACATGAACACCTCACCCAGGAGATGCCC